ATACATACATACATACATACATACATACATACATACATACATACATACATACATACATTTCATTTCATTGCATTGCATTGCATTGCATTGCATTTCATTTCATTTCCTTTCCTTTCATTACATTACATTACATTACATTACATTACATTACATTACATTACATTACATTACATTACATTACATTACTTTACATTACATTACATACATACATACATACATACATACATACATACATACATACATACATACATACATGCATACATACATACATACATGCATACATACATACATACATACATACATACATGCATACATACATACATGCATACATACATATACACACACACGCACACGCACACGCACACGCACACGCACACGCACACGCACACGCACACGCACACGTTGCCGCGGGCTAGGCCTGGCCGCCAGCCGAGCGTCGGCCCCGCGGGCGCGCGCGCGCGCACTGGCCGAGCAGCACGTGCCTCCGCCGGGCACCCACGGGGCAGCGGCGAGGCCCAGGGAGCAGCGGCCGCGGGCGCCGGGGGCGGCGGCGGGGCCGCGGGAGTAGCGGGGCCGGCGGGCGGGGGCGGCAGGGCAGCAGCGCGCGGCGGGCGGAGGCGCGCCGGCGAGGCACATCGCAGGGGCATCGCAGGGGCGGGGCAGCGGGGCCCCGCGGGGCCGCGGCGAGGCCAGCGCCCCCGCGCCAGGGCGGCGCCGGGGGCGAGGCCGCGGCGAGCGCGGGGCGCGCAGGGGCGAGCGGCCGAGCCGCCCCGCGGAGGGGGCCGCGGGCGGCCCAGGCGGCGAGGGCGCCGCAGGAGGCCCGCGAGCAGCGGGCGCGCCTCGGCGGGCCGAGCGCTGCCCCCCGCGCAGGCAGGCGCAGCAGAGGGAGCGCGGCGCGCGGCGCGGAGGAGGACGGGCGCCGCGGCCGCGGAAGCGACCGCCGGCGTCAAAGAGCGGGAGGGGCGCGCGCCGGGGCCGGGCGGCAGGCCGAGGAGCGGCGGGCGGCCAGCACGGCGAGGACGCCGCCGGGGATCACCCGGCCGCAGGAGAGCGGGCCATGGCCCGCGGCCTGCGATCCTCGCGGTGAGGCCGTCTCCGGCGATGCGGCGGCCAGGTGAGGCGAGAGGGAAGCTGTGTTCCTGCCGCGGGCGCACACACACACACACACACACACGCGCCAGTCCTGGCCGGGGCAATTTCTGGCACAGGAGGCCTGAGCAGGATCGGTGTACAGTCTGTCCCCGCCCGAAGGAACCTCACAGGTTTAGCACTGATCGAAGCCCCGTTCTGGCACCCAGCTGCGCCTGGATCCGCGCTGAACCCCCTTCCCTGACTACCTACCAGACCACCCCAACCTAACCCGAAGCGAAGACCCAAGTTTCGGGTTGGGGGGGTACGGGTTCCACATGTGTCTTTCCCCACATCCTAAGTGGGGTTCTTGTTTTCTCTGCACACCCTCCGCGCAGGATCTCCTCCTCCTCCCTCTCCTCTGCTCCTCTTTGTTTCCTCCTCCGTTCCTCCTCCGCATCATCATCACCATCACCATCACTCCCCACTCATCTTCATCATCTTCATCTTCATCATCATCATCATCATCATCATCATCATCATCATCATCATCATCATCATCATCATCATCATCATCACCATCAGCATCACCATCACCATCGCACGATCACTCACCATCATCGGCATCGAACGATCATCATTATCATCCTTCTATCTACCTAACGGTTGTCTTCATCATCTTCAGCATCATCATTCATCAATCATCATCATCATTCATCATCTCTTCATCATCTCATCATCAACATCTATCATCATCTTCATCATCATTCATATCATCATCATCGATCATCATCATCATCATCATCATCATCATCATCATCATCATCATCATCATCATCATCATCATCACTACTCGCTGACTTGAGGCCTGAATATGGAAGAAGTATCAGGCGGGAGCCTCGTCTGTGAGTGAATTGTGAGGAAGTCTGAGGCGGGAACCCCTCCCTATGGGGCCCGCACTTCACGTTGGTAATCCGAGCGGGTCATCCTGAAACCTGTAACAGTCGTCACTTTTGCGCTCCTGAGGTTTGATTACTGAGGAAGTATCAGGCGGGAGCCTCGTATGTGAGTGAATTGCGAGGAAGTCTCAGGCGGGAGCCCCCTCCCTATGGGGCCCGCACATCATGTTGGTAATCCGAGCGGGTCATCCGCAACGTGTAACTGTCGTCATTTTGGGCTCTTGATGCCTGAATATTGGAGGAAGTCTCGAGAGGGAGCCCGTCTGTGTGTGAATTGCGAGGAAGTTCAGGCGGGAGGCCCCTCCCCATGGGGCCCGCCCTTCATGTTGGTTAATAAAATCCCATGAGCGGGTCATCCGCAAGGCAACTGTCCGTTCACTTTTGGGCTCTTGGGGCCTTTTGAAAATGGAGGAAGTCTCGAGCGGGAGCCTCGTCTGTGAGTGAATTGCGAGGAAGTCTCAGGCGGGAGCCCCCTCCCTATGGGGCCCGCGCTTCATGTTGGTAATCCGAGCGGGTCATCCGAAACGTGCAACTGTCGTCACTTTTGGGCTCCTGAGGCCTGAATATGGAGGAAGTCTCGAGCGGGAGCCTCGTCTGTGAGTGAATTGCGAGGAAGTCTCAGGCGGGAGCCCCCTCCCTATGGGGCCCGCACTTCATGTTCGAATCCGAGCGGGTCATCCGAAACGTGTAACCGTCGTCACTTTTGGGCTCTTGAGGCCTGAATATGGAGGAAGTCTAAAGCGGGAGCCTCGTTTGTGAGCGAATTGCGAGGAAGTCTCAGGCGGGAGCCCCCTCCCTATGGGGCCCGCACTTCATGTTCGAATCCGAGCGGGTCATCCGCAACGTGCAACTGTCGTCACTTTTGGGCTCTTGAGACCTGAATATGGAGGAAGTCTCGAGCGGGAGCCTCGTCTGTGAGTGAATTGCGAGGGAGTCTCAGGCGGGAGCCCCCTCCCTATGGGGCCCTCTTCCCGAGGCGCTGGCCGAGGCAGCGACGGCGCTGAGGAAAATGGATTTGATTGCCCCGACGAGGGGGAAGGGGAGGTGCACATGGAGAAAAGGCAGGGGGATGAGGAGGGAAGGGGCATGGGGGAGGCCGACGACGAGGAGGAGGTGGCGCGAGAGGAGGAGGTCAGCATCACCATCACCATCGCACGATCACTCACCGTCATCGGCACCGAACGATCATCATCATCATCATCATCATCATCATCATCATCATCATCATCATCATCATCATCATCATCATCATCATCATCATCATCATCATCATTCATCATCTCATTCATCATCATCATCATCATCATCATCATCATTCACTACTTTTCGCTTGACTGAGGCCTGACTATGGAGGAAGTATCAGGCGGGGCCTCGTCTGTGAGTGAATTGTGAGGAAGTCTCAGGCGGGAGCCCCTCCCTATGGGGCCCGCAGATCATGTTACTAATCCGAGCGGGTCATCGGATTCCTGTAACTGTCGTCACGTTTGGGATCCTCAGGTTTGAATTTGGAGGAAGTATCAAGCGGAAGCCTCGTCTGTGAGTGAATTGTGAGGAAATCTCAGGCGGGAGCCCCCTCCCTATGGGGCCCGCAGATCATGTTACTAGTCCGAGCGGGTCATCGGATTCCTGTAACTGTCGTCACTTTTGGGATCCCCAGGTCTGAATTTGGAGGAAGTATCAAGCGGGAGCCTCGTCTGTCAGTGAATTGCGAACAAGTCTCAGGCGGGAGCCCCCTCCCTATGGGGCCCGACTTCATTTGGTAATCCGAGCGGGGTCATTCCAGAACGTGTAACTGTCTTCACTTTTGGGCTCTTGAGGCCGCTTGAATATGGAGAAATCTCGAGCGGGGAGCTCGTCTGTGAGTGAATTGCGAGGAAGTTTCAGGCGGGGAGCCCACCCTCCCTATGGGGCCCGCACAATTATGTTGGTAATCGAGCGGGTCGAT